GCTGCTCATCGTTTTGAGTTTTAACTCAGTACACCTCAAACTTATTTTATGAATAAAATCAAAAATGATACTGTACTCCCAACTCCCACATACAAACTACTGCCGATGATTCAAGAAAGAAGACATGGGGAGTTGGGAGTACAGTATAATTTTTAATTTTATTCATAAAATTAGTTACTATAGAATGTGCAAAACTGTGGTTATATCCTGTACAACTATTTATAAGTCGACAGGGACTTCTCTTCGAGTCGTGTGGTTTTCTGGATTTGTGCACCGAAGTCCGTTTTCTCGCTTTCTTGAAGGTTTCCATACTTTTCGGATCTTCACACTGACCAGGCGCACCTTCTTTAAATATTTAATGATGTACAACACTATTTACGATTTTGTGGTTTCTCCATATTATGTGTTCTTCTTGTGCTTGCCAACATGAAATTGCCACATTCAATTGGTATCCGATAAATTCATACGCACACGATGGTGGGCCTGGATCTAAAACTGGTACAAGTGTTGTACTCAGATTCATTTATACTCTTCTCATCTTCATTATCTATCATTCCATTTCTTTGGAGTATTATTTCTTAATGCGGCTCCTTGTCGAGAATCATCTTCTTGTTGCAGAGACTGAATGGACTATCAATTGGTGATGGATGGATTCGTAATTCAAATACGGCTCCCATGGTTCCGTACTTTGAAAGTGTCATCAACATATGTCAACCGGATTCGATGCTTCTTATATGCTTGGAGGAATTTTTTCCACCGCTGTTATTGCTTTCGTAGCCATTAGAAAAGCCACTATTTTATTCCCAATATTCTGATTGTTGATTATATTCTTTCGACTTTATCAATTTGTTTTCTTTGAGAAAATTGATAAACCTGATATGATTATTGGTAAAATAAATTGTATAAATTATTAGAAGTACCAGCTTGCTTGCATTATTTACTACTTATGCTTTCAAGTCTAGAGAATAACCAACTTTGAAAAAAATTGGGAAATGATATCATCAATGAAAGTCTCTCAATTAAGCAGCTGGTAACATTGAAAATTTACTATTTATTTATTGATATTTTGAACATACTTATGTGGGAGCAATTTATCTCAATTATAACAAACATTCTTGAGAGTATTCAATCTATTGAAAAGGCATAAACATGTTTTTTATGATAACGAACAAAAAACAACTCGACGACGTTCATATCAATACCTTTCTATCAACACCGTATGAAATAGTTTTTCTAACGTAACTAGCGAAATGCGAGAAAACATAAGCAGTGATGGATTATCGTTGTACTGATTTAAAATGGAATATCTATGATTTACATATAACGATTTAGAATGAATTGAGACTGACAACAAAGATCTTTGATGAATAACCAATGAGATATGTTGATAGTACGTGTCTGATAAATACCGAATGAAACAGAACCTGAACTTCCAACTGATTGATGGTTCGCTGTAGATTTCTTATTAGATTAATGAAGTTCTAGTCTGAACGATTTTGACGTATAAGGAGCGTAGATTCCTTAAGTGTTTCAGGTTTTACATTCGATATCAGTAGTACTGCTTTCAAGGAGGTCCATCAATCTAAAGAAGACTGTTGAAAATGGCATCATCACAAATATACAAAATACTCTCATGAGAAAACATCGTAGATGCTTGTTAAGGATGAATGAAAATAAAAATGACAATACGTACATTCATGAAATAGTCACGTCAAATATTATTTTTGTCTCACGGAAAGGCTTTCTTGGTAGCTAATACTATAAAAAGGGCAATAATGATTAAAGTAACAATCCATAAGTATAAGATTAGAACATCGAGAGATAGTAACATTGTGTGAACTGGCATCATTGTCGATGGAGGAAAATGATGGCTGTAAATAGGAATTCGATAAGACATTTCGATGACACATTATTTCCTTTGATAGTTTGAGTATTAATGAGTAATCACAAATGTGTTAAAAACTCCCAGTCAAATGGTTGTGAAATTGTTGAATATATTATGAAATACATCCAGTTGGATATAGCACTGGAATCTGTGTGTTTAATAAATAAACATATATTAAATTTCGCTGCATCCTCTTCCCATTATAACACTCGAAACAGCAGACACACTCTGAAAATCACTGTGCCAACTAAAAACATCACCAGATACTCCATATTTTACAACGTGGAAAAATGTACAATCGTTTGCCTATGGACATAAGATCTGCGAATATAAATGACTTTCAATTCAGGAAGTTAGTCAAACAATTTCTATCTGATAGACCCTATTATACTTTGGATGAATATTTTAACGATAACTTTTAACTGATTTTACTGACACATATTTTTTATCTTTACTTATTGAGGAGATCCTAAGTTGTTACTTTTTATGTCTACTCTTTTATAAACTCGATTTTTACTCTTTTATATATACATATCATTTATATCCTCCATTTCAACATACCCATGCAGCATTTTTATTCCAATTTCATTTGATGTGTATTGCATTTTTTAAGTATTTACTAACCAAGCTTTGTCTACAAGATTATATCTAACGATCATAAAGCATATAATTATTATTATTATTATTGAAAAAACCCTACCTGAGTTCCTACTTATTGATTACCTTTAGCTCTGACTTTAATTTTTTTCTGATTACCTGGAGATCAACTCAGTCTGTTCAGTGGAAATGATTTGTACAAATAATAAAAAGGATTTATACAAAAAAAAAATGGGTAACACTTGAGGGGATACGAAAGAAATTGAAAAGTATCTTAAGAATTATCAAAATACTTCACAGTTCAAGACTAAAAAGTATACTGTGCGTCCATGAAGTAACGCCTAAATTTATTAATAACCTAATAAATTTACAGTTTTCAAATTTATAATTCAATAAGCAGGATAATAAAAACGTTCACACCTGAACTGATTTCAAGAAGTTGCATCAAATTGGTACATAGTTGGCAACATTTTGAAAACACTTTTCTCTCACCAGAACAAGAATGCTATGTCTCGACACGCATTTCGCTAACTATGTTACCATCATTAGGTGATGACTGAAACTACTTAGTTAATAGTGATTTAGAGAATACTCGCCTTGTGTGCATATCACGGAATGAATCACGTACCATATTGCCAACACCAATTATAATTAAAATAATAGATTTACTGTGAACATACCTATACGTTGAAGTGTTAATTCAGAATTGAACTGTCATTATTTTTAAACTTTCATATTTTTGAACTTTTAACGTCAAATTAAAAACAAATAGAAAAAAATATATTCAAACAATATACGGTATAGTTGAATGGCGAAGGTCACTAATAAAAATAATTATATAGGTTTGTTACCAATATATACGGCAAGTTTTCCATGAGTTTCAGTATATGTGATTCAATTTAATTTTTGCATTACGTTAATTCTTTAGTAGCGACACCATTTGACTACAATTATTCTGTCATATTTTCAATTTACTCAAGTTAGTATGTTCAAAATTATTGATTTTGATATACCTAACGACAACGCTTGAATTTATTTTTTCGCGCCATAGTTTGAATTTTGCGATAGCTCCAAAGACAATAATTTGAATCATATGACGGAAACCGCAAATTTAATGTGCATAAAATGCTTAACGACTTAACGTATTTATTTAGCAAGCATGTAACCATTACTTTGAATATGAAAATCGATATAGTACGCTATCTTTGAAAGATCCTTGTAGACATACAAAAATTACAAATATTTATGTAATGAATTATTTGATTATATCTCATAGGGCCAGATTACACTGGCATGGGTAACACTACCGAATCACTATGTCCGTTTGTGAAAACCGTATAAAAATCCGCTAGCTGGTTTTTGTGTTTGTCGCGATCAGGCAGAGAGACAGACACGGCGGAGGATTTTAATTAATAATATGTACCGATTATTTTGAAGGAAACTGACAATTTTGGTATTGCACAATTCAATTGCATTAGAAGTAACTAACATATATTATATTTTATTATGTGATTTTAACCGTTGGGCTTCCATAATAATACCTTAAAAAAGTCTTAGACTTTGAAAACTTTTTGTTTCTGACAAACCAACTAATTTTCAGTAGTCAAAGTTTGCAGGTAGCAGTCTTCAATATTTCAAGCAAAATTTATCTACCTCTTGTCGCGCATGCCCCACTCCAAGCAAAAATTAGAATAAATACGTCACAGTTTTCAAGGTTGTAGTTATCTTGAATCGTGAATATTGCTTGCATATCTGTATTTACAATGTAAATTGACAGCTAGTAGGTACGACAATACGAATATAGACGGACCAATGAAATTCTTTCTTTGTGCACATATTCACTATTTATTGTTTACAGTTTGATAAAAGCAATTATGGTTTGAACTGGATTATAACTTGTGACTATTAGATAGTATGGAAGATATATATAGTTTTACTTTTAGTCTAATGAAACAAACCGCACTGAAGAGTATTTCAGTTATGTTCCATATGTTGATTACGAACGTAAATTTATCTCGTTTTTGTGGTAAAACCTGTATGTGAATTCATTAATCATGAACTAAATTTGAGAATTGAAAATGTAAACACAAACATGTTTATATTTATTGAAATACCTAGATGCCCCAAATTCAATAACGTGTAAATACGTTATTTGCTGAACACTGATTAATTTTTCGTGATTTTGTGGTTAGATATATTGTTCGAAAAACAACATCTTTCAGTTATCGTCAGTTTGAACACAGCTTTTGAAGAAGTTTGTTGAACGGTGAGATATTCTAATAATTATTTTTACAATAGGGTCTCCTTTCCATAACTAATAGAATTAGATGATTTTACTAATGATTTCCACTCTCAAAATTGAAACCTGACTTTGATAACCGTTTTTAATTATTATCCAAAAACGTTAATATTTCGCATCTTTGTGAAAAGTTGTTATTGCAGTTATTTTGTTTCTTCTATTTTTTCAAGTTTCTCACATGTTTGTTCAATAATGAAAAAGTAGAAATCGAAAAATCTTTTTCCCAAAAAACTAATCTCTCCTGAGAAGGTTCCCGTCACTATTGGAGCAAAGAATAAATTTTATCTTATTTGTTTAATCGATATTCAATTGGGTCTTACAATTTTCATCAACCCAATCTTATATCGAATTCCATGAAACATTAATGACATAAACTACCATAACACAATTTTCATTAGATAGTGAATCTAGTGAAATGAATGAAAAAAGTATTCAAAACTTGATGACTACACAAAATTAGAATATTTTTCTGAATATTTAAAAATCCGTTTTTACATTGAGAAGTTCGAAAAATTTATCGAATGACCAAATAGAAATGAACTCTTCCCCTACATTAAATCAGTTTTTTAATATAGACATTGGTAATTAGTTCATTACACGTCCATTTAATGAGTTGGAAAAATTCTTTTGAAATATTCAAATTTCTAATTGATTTATACCTAATTTATTGAGTAGGTAGAAGGTCATGAAATTTAAATTATTGTTTTTTTTTAGCAATACTTAGATAGAATTTAGATGGTATGAACGCGCCTGAGGAAGTTATTGTATAGTGAAACACGTGTTACTTGAAAACGTAATGGATTTTCATCAAGTTTCGGCAAATTCTATCACAAACTTATTGGAGATTGAAACAATAGAATTGTAGTAAAGATCATCGAATGAATCAATTTTTTCCTCTCAAAATATTGAGACATTTATAAAAAATGAAACAATTGAACTGCAATGCTCTTTCCAACATACGTTTTACCAATTCAGTTGGCTCATTAGGAGATGATTTAAACTGACCTGAATCATCTTTTGATGACGTCCACTTGGTTGGTAAAACGCGTCGAACAGAGTTGTAGTTTTGGTGTGTGGGTATTGTTTTTTTTTGTCCGTCTGATCCTACTACTTTCTATATGTTAGTTCTTTAATTATTTTCAACTTGATTCTTCACCACATGTTTTGTTACTAGGAAAATGGCGTCAGGAGATTCAACTAAATATTTCCAAAAAGATCAAGTGGAATTCGAAGAGGACTTCTTCGGTTTATTCACTGATAAAACCACTGGGCAAAGCAGCTCCGTCAGGAGATTCACTTGGAGAAATTCAAATAGTGTAACTGTCCAAGTCATCACATACGGAGCTACAATCACTTCAATCAAGATTCCTGGTAAAACTGGCCACGTGGATGATATTGTCATGGGATTCAATGATATGGAAGGTAAAGAAAATTGAAAATGATTTCAGGCGATAAACACTAGTGAATATTAGTCAGTTTGAATGCCATTTTAGAAAATAATATCGTTCATAAATCCCAAAAGCCACTCAATTGCGATTGAAAATGTATAATCAAATATATGAATGAAGTCAAGAAATGAATAGAACTCTCATAAACAATTCAAAATGAGTTGTTTTGTTGATCATGCTTCAGTCACAAACGAGTGAAAAGTGAAGGATATTAAAATGAAGTTAGCTAAGGGTTTAGTTATCATCGACATTAGAATTGAATTCAGTGATGTTTTACTTTGGTCGAATAATAAGATTGATTTCCTTTCTTGGCAGATTTTTTTTCTACTTCAGTATTAAAAGCTCTATAGGATTTTTTTCGTAAACCAAATTTCTTAACGTAGCTGCCTATACTTATCTTCTATAATCGTGAGTAATGTTTTGCATGATTTCCCAAATGGTAAAGTATTCAACGAAATTAAATTTCGAAGTGGATGGACTTCCTTTTTCCATTCGTTATTGAAACAACTGCTTCATTTTCCTCTCAAGGTAGCTGGATGTAAATAGTTCATTACTTCATCATCATTCGTTTCTAAGCAGTCATTATGTGGAAATATAGAACGTTCCACATAGTTGGGCCTAGTAGATCCCTATTGGATTTATTGGATGAATTAGGAAACTTCATGGAGATGAAGTAGACTCCAACTTGAGTTGGATCTGATCTATGTATACTACTTCGGATGATTACCGTTTTTACGAAAATTGTTGTGAAATTATTTCGTGATTATTTAGAAATTACCGTGACAAATATATTGAAATACTTGAAAAAAAAAACACAAGAGTTACAAGTCATTGTTATTTATTGTATCAATATTTCAGGATATTTGAATCGCCTGAACCCTTACTTCGGCGCCACTGTTGGACGCGTGGCAAACCGAGTCGGCTACGCCAGAATAGAAATCGATGGTACAACTTACAACGTTACAGCAAACTTGGGATTGCATCAACTTCACGGAGGCTTGAGAGGTTTCGATAAAGTAAACTGGGATCATTATGTGAATGGCACCAAGGTGGTCCTAAGCTACCTTTCCAGAGATAATGAAGAGGGATACCCGGGGGACGTGCTGGTTAATGTTTCGTTTGAACTAACGAACATGAACGAGTTCTTGGTGGATTTTACAGCCACTTCCACAAAACCCACTTTCGTCAATTTAACCAATCATTCGTACTTTAATTTGGCTGGACACAATAAAGGAGCCGGAGAATTGTATAAGCATGTTGTTTCCATAAACGCAGATTATACAACGGATGTCGATGACAACTCAATTCCTTCAGGTAACAATTACATAAAATCCATAATGTCTTCATTTTATGTTTGCGGTTTGTATCTCTCCAAGTTCCATTACCATTCAGTACTTATTGATAAAAAATAGACCAATTTCCATCACCACTATGAGAGCTGAAGGCACTGACAAACACTGCCACATCGATAGTTCTCATTTTCAAAAATTATATGATTCGAATGGAATCCACCACACTCTGTTACTTATCTAGAAGAAAAAATGTAAAATACAATTTCAAAAACAGAGTATATGATAAACAAATCAAATTAAATTTATTCACAACCCGTAAGCTATAGCATTACAGAAAAAAATATATATATAGGAAGCACGATTATCTGGTTGTAAGTGAAAGAACTATTGTATGTTAAAGAACATAAAAAGCTACAAAAATACAAAAATGAAATAATATGTATTGAAATAACTACCATCTGTTCATTAATGAAAGGAAATATGTATACAATCAAAGAACATTAGGACAACAACACATTAATGATAATATAATACATAGCATTACACTGATTATCTTCAAACATGACTCAACCTCTGACGGAAGCACCAAACTTTTACGAATGTTCAAAGAACACTTCATTCTAGCAGACCACTATTATAATTTTCATACAGTCATTGTTCACTCTGGTTGTGGCGTTGAATCTGGTTATTATTACGCATTGGTCAAAGACGAAACGGACTGGGTTAAGTTTGACGATAGTCATGTTACTAAATATTATCGCGATATCTTGAATTTATTGAAGCCTTTGGAGACACCCTACATTTCATTCTATGAAAGAGAGGACATTGGCAGATCAAGATCTCCAAATGATGTGGTGCTGCAAGTTTTTCCGGGTTTTCCTGCAGCTGAAAAAGCAAATGCGCCACTGGAATCCATCAAGTCGCCTCGGAGCGCCAAATAATTTTTGTTGTTGTTGTTTTATAATTTCATAATTTGTATTACTTATTTTGCACATTACATATTCAATAATATCCAAAAAGTGAAAAAAAATCCAAAGAATAAAACTACTTTTTCTCTCGTATTTATGAAGAGCATTCCTGTAGTAATTTAGATTTGACAATTCGTGACTTGCACCAAATAGTTCCTTAAAACTATTAAAACAATGCATTGATAAATATAACAGTTCTGCCCAATCGCTAGTCTGGAGAAGGGATGATGTAAATTTTCAGTTCCTCGTTGAGTATTTGTGAATGGAGCTATTTGATAACATTAAAGCCACTTGTTTCTTTATATTTTTAGTAATTTGCATCACATAACGTGAAGGCAGTGTAAGAATTTGTAGTTGTGAAACGCTGAGCTCCTACCATGGACCTTACAATTTTCTTCTGTGTAAAAAGTTTTCAATGATATGTGCTGAATTACCTCATATTTTGTTAGGGTTTCGACAAGTACATAATCGGCCAGTTTCAATTCTTCCAAAGATACTGTTCTTTGTAGCTGCCTAATTAGAAAGCATAAAGTGCTTGCATTTCGAACGAGCATCGATGTGTTCCTCCCATGTCATCTTATGCTCCAAAATAATTTCAAGAAATTCAATAGAAGTCAGTTGTTCAATGCTTTTATTGTTGAATTTTATCAAATAGTTAACATCATTGTTCATATTTTGAATACATTTGATGATACTTCATTATGAAGACACCATTTATAAAATCCATTTGCTGACATTTGTCCTTACTACTACATCCCATGTGTCAGTTTCTGAGACCACTATGTTAGTGTCATCAGCATACATAAACTATTTATTTTGAATAAAACCGGACCCAAGATAGATCCTAGATTGTCCTTGGTTGTATGATCAACTGTGTCAAGTGCCCTACTGAGGTCAAAGTCTAGGTTTATCGGGTTTTCTTTCCCATTCAGTACAACATAAATATTCTTCTGAAATTGCTATGGTGGTGGATTTATTACTTCTAAAATCATTTTGATAACTTAGTACAAGCTTTTGATTCTCTGAAAATGCAGCCAACTAAATATCAAATGAAGGGGTACTAGAATAACGTAACAATAAAACAAAACCACACAGCTACCTTACGGAGTAATATAATATAATGATGACATGGGTAGTTATTTTTTCTGGAGGTGATGTTCAAGTGCCCACTGCCACTGACACCCACGAGCCGGCTAGTTTGGCTCTTCGTCGGTATTCTTGGATAAACTTCTGTCAAGTCTATAATGTCATCTAGTCAAGCAACTGAGAGAATCGTGTCACTTTGTCAGGAAGTTTTTTTAACTCCTCATATCACAGAAATATGAGATGAAAATCCTTCCTGTATTCGGAAATGACGATCCAGTTGAACAAATCGAAATCAATAGTTTCTGACTCATTGTTGTTTTTTAATTTTTGAGTGGTCACTCAATAATATTCAGTATTGAAGCCACAAGTATCATACATGTATGTGCCACAATATCAGAAAGTTTTCATAAGTGCAAAATTTTAATTTCAGGTTGTCATTTTTTGTTATACCCCATGAAAAATTTTCATAAAAATGTATGCCCTAACTTGTTTTTAGAAAAATGAGATGACCAAGATTTTTCTATAGGTGAAATTGAAAAAGATAAAGAAGAGTGAAGAGAAACTTGAGAGTTCATTTAATCGTTAGATTTTTATGTATCTACCGTTTCAGAAAAAATTGAGATATATTTAACGCATTTTTACAGGTCTACCAGAAATCAGATTTTTTTCAGATTGATCGCGAAAAACTCGGGAAAAATGGAAAGTGTATTTTCGAATGTTTTTTGTTACGTTATCAAACCGGTTAAATAAAGCTGAACCTTTTGAAACGGAATTGGCGTTATTACAGAAATACACAACAGAAATTCACAAACACACAAAAATACATTTTCACAAAGTTTTTCATTTCTTGGCATATGCTCAGATCTATGAAGGGGTTTTCAAATGGTTTATGTTGACAACAATGGTAGCCAGGGATGGGTTTTTGAATGAAGGTAGATGAGTAGTTATCTATTGAAAATACTTTTCCCTTACCAGAACAAAAACGCTGTCTCTCGACGCGCGTTTCGCTAACCAAGTTAGCATCTTCAGGAGATGAATAAGGCTAATTCATCTCCTGTTGACCAATCAACATTTTAGTTCTGGAGAGGAATTCATGTCACGCCAGAAGTTCAAAATTCAAAAAATGTCAATCATTAAATGATATTCAATGAATAACTTGGAATTATCAAGTTAAAATAATAAAACTAATTTATTCTTAATAATGATGTGAATACTTTCAAATATGTTCCTTGATGTTTATCAGATAACTTCACATTTACTATTTCAAATAATTATTATTTCATGTTCTTATTGGAGACTGCTGATAGAGGATTTTTATTTCTTTCTTTGAAAAATTGATATTTTTCAGGAAAACTCCTCCCCGTCGCTGAAACAATTTTTGATCTGAGAATTCCCAGAGTTCTAGGAGACGTCATCCATAAAATTCCCGGCTACGACGGCTACGACCATAACTTCTGCATAAACAAAGGATCCAAGCAAGAAATCACTTTTATAGCTAGAGCCGTTCATCCTCCAACCGGGAGAGCATTGGAGATATATAGCAATCAACCAGGTGTTCAGTTTTACTGTTCCAACAGTATTCCGGAAGATCCAAAGAACTTCAAGGGAGACAAATCCAAGTTGGAAACATTGGTTGGCAAAGACGGAAATTACTACAAACATGGTGCTTTCTGTTTCGAAACTCAGAATTGGCCCGATGCAATTAATCATGTGAGTGCATTATATAATGTTATATGAATTGCAGGGGTTATATTTTTAGGAGTGATTAATTTTTGGGAAAGAAAGTTTTTGGCTTTCTACTACTCCATCTTGATACGAAAAAAGGATGAGGGAATCTTCCAAAGAAAGGAAGGAAGTAATCAATTTGAAAATAAGTAACTCTATACATGGATGTGTAGATCATGCAAAGAAGTAACTTTCAGACACAAACTGAAAGAAAGTCCTCCTGAAACAGCTACTTTCATATAAATATTGAATTACACGAAAGAAAGAAAATCTTTCGAAACAAATACTTCTATATGAACACTGAATTATACAGAAGATACTTTTCTCTACTCAGTTTGTATTTCGAACATTCGTTGTGGAATAAAAATCAGATATCATTCACATGAGTTCTGCTCATGTGAATGATCGTTCTGCATAGACTCATCGAAGACAAAGCTTGTGGGGCTACCATCTACAACAACAACAACTTCATCAGGCAGAGATAACATATCTGTCCTGTTGGCTTGTAATGCAGCAGGAGGTAAAGCCCCTCTTCTCATGATATTCAAAGCAAAAAACATGTGGTAACAATGGCAGGCACCGGAAGGTTCTGGTTTCCCAAAAACCTCTTATACTTGCAAAGATAACGGTTGGATGTAGTCCGATGTGTATCCGATGTTGGATGTAGTCCGAACAGGTATTCTTGAAGCAAATTGGTGACGAGAGGCCCATTTTACTAATATTCGACGGCCACACTACTCAGTCTCAATGTCCTAGAACTGGCCAAAAAAGAACATGTTGAAATAATCAAGTTGCCACCCCATTCAAGCTACCTCCTACAACCGTTGGACCTTTCGGTTTTTAAACTGTTGAAAACGTATTGGGACCAAGCTCTAGCAAAGTGGCAGAGACAACATATTGGAAAAAAACTCCCAAAAAGTTAATTTTCCAATATAGTAGGAAAATTATGGCTTGAAACTGAAATTGAAATCATTTGTAATGGATTCAAGAAAGGAGGAATCTATCCATTCAACGATAATATTATCCCGAAGGAAAAATATGACCCAATTTCACTACAGAAATTGCAATCACTGAATTCATCAAAACATGCTGACCATGGATCAAATAAGCAGAATCAGACACTTCCAGAGCCAACTACAAGCATTAGCATTAGCTCTGCTAGTGATCAGGCTCTGTCACAACCTACTGCAGGTACCAGCTCAGCTGTTTATCAAGCACGTCCAGAGCCTACTGTAGGCACCAACTCAGAAAACGTTCGTTTTCAAGAGCTACAATCAAATAAAGTCAATCTGAAGGCTTTCTTGGTACTATATCTATGATTTCGCAGTCATTAGAGAAAAAATGAACTTTTCACAGTAGTTGACATATAAAATCCACGAATTTTGGGTCGCTGTTACCCCAGTTCACCTTATCTCATTTTTGCATATTTTCCCCAAATATGGCCAAGAATTTTCAGTTTTTCTCCTTCCGTTGAAAGTTTTCCATTCATCACATTTCATCACTGGAGAACTAGAATGTCTGAAAGGTTTTTCAAATAATTGTGTTGCCCATCTTTAATAAATAATACGTGAAAAATCAACTTCATTTAATTACCCAAAAGTAACCTTAATTTAATATCACTACGTATAAAATTAATTAAGTTGTTTTACTTATCAATATCGCTTGGTAACAATACTAAACTAAATCGTCCTCCTCTGTAAAATACCCGTCAATATATGCAGCGTTCCAAAACTCGCGAATATTCTCTCCACGTCAAAATGACCAATAGTCGGTTATAGCCCATACGATTCATTCAGTGACTCATCTCTTGAACACAGGTTCTCAGTAGGCGGATGGAATCATTTTTTCATGAGCGACTCGCCATAACATGCCTCCTTTGCAAAAATAACTTAGTAGAGCAAGCTCTGTCTTCGGCAAACTCAATACATACAATATTAATATTTCATAATTACTTTACTATTACGATTTTCGATATTTATTCTTTTATTTTTACAGAAAAACTTTCCTCCAGCTGTGTTGTATCCTGGACAAAAATACCACCATAGCGTAATCTACAAGTTCTTTGTTGATTAAGATGAAATTAAATAAAGATGGAAAATTTACTATTGTTGTTTTCATCTTCCCTAGGAATGCAAAAGTTTCTTATACAATCTTTTCAGTTGAATATAGATTATACACATGACAGGAACTTTGGTTGAAAAAATCTCCCACTAGATTGTACCTGTAAATATATCATAAATCCTATTGAAAAACTTTCGTATCCTGAATGTTGGGTGGTCTTCGATTTCTACATTGAATTCCACTAACAATAAGTCAATTGATATCTCAAATTCTTGGCAAACAAAAGCAAACCTACCGATATGAGCACCCTAAACTTGGATAATATTTCAAATATAACTATCAATCATTTATTTGTAAATGTAGCACCACCATATATAGGGAGATCATTATTCTTCAATAGAATGGTAAATTCAAGAGGCAGGAACCCCTATCATACAATTTCCGAATTTATTTTCGTAGACGGAGATTATAATCTCCGTTGAGTTGAGAAATGAAAGACAATTTCCTTAATGATCATTTCTTCAATAAAAATTGCATTATTGAAATACAAAGATATTGGAACAACCTTTCTTAAAAAAATTGAAGGAAGGAGTGTGTAAGAAATAGAGACGAAAAATTTAGCAGAGTAATTAGAAATAAAGTTATGTTTGTGTTGGTAGGCTCAGAAGTTGTACAATTTTTCAATCTATTGAAAACACTTTTTCCTCGTCAGAACGAAAAAACTGTTTGTTGACGTGCATTTCGCTAACCGAGTAAGCATTATCAGGAGATAACTAAGACTCAGTCTTCTCCTGATAACCCTAGCATGGTTAGCGAAACGCTCGTAGACAGCATTTTTATTCTGTTGAGAGAAAAGTGTTTTCAATTGATCCAAATTCACGCTTGTCAAACCCTTTGATAACCGTTTTGGCTGCTCTCTGGAATAGTATGTGTTATTGCTTGACCTCTCAGAATCTTCTGAACACCAATTGGCGTTGGCTACTGCCTCAAATTCTCATGGCCCATGATAACTCTCTATCAATAATTGGAAGCTAGATGATTTTTCTTGAGTTGATCTTACTGCTGTGGGCAAGACCTCCTTTGACCTCCTCCAACGAGAAATGCTTGCTGTGAATATGCTCCAGTGGGTCTTTCAGTTTATCCAATAGTTCGTTCATTTTTTCCAATGACTAACTTTTTCCAATTCATTTTCAACTTTATTTACTTGGCCACTGGAAGTTGACACTTCATTCTAGATTCTTTTTCTCAGTTATTCTCTCAAAACTGAATATAGAATTCGATTGTAGCTTTTTAAGAAGTTCCTATGGAATAATATAATTCAAAATTTAAGGTAGGGAATAGCTTCAATGACCATTACACCTCATCAACACTTCAAAAACATAAAGTGTCCTAATGTTCAAAGCCTTTTTTGTGAACAAAGACATTAGAACTTTCAATGTGTTAACATAAACTGACCTTACTTTGAATGGACTTGAGAAAACTATATACAAAAATATGTTTTGATAGTTCGTACTGGAACCTATTGAATCCATTGAAAACACTTTCCCAACACCAAAACAAAAATCACGCACCCATTATATTCAATACAATTGATAATCTCCAGTGCATTATATAATAACTGAATTGCCAATTAATATAGATAAGCCTGTTTTGAATTCATTATATCGCTCAACGCTGAGATAAAATGATCTGATGTTCACTTTCGTAAACCAGTTACTTCCATCACATCGTTGGGATAACACGCATACAAACCATGAACGTATCACTCGTAGAAGACGAATTTGGGCACATTGAAGATGACAAAGGACAACAAAAAACTATCAAAAGATATACCTGGACGAACATCAACAAAGTGAGTATTCAAGTGATAACGTATGGAGGTTACATAACGTCGATTAAAATCCCAGACAAAAACGGTGTCATTGAAGATATAGCTATTGGTTTCAAAAACATTGACGGCTACTTGAGTCCAGCAAACCGGTTCTTTGGAGCAACAATAGGGAGAGTAGCTAACAGGATAAAGGATGGTAAAATGACAGTGGAAGGTGTAGCGTACAGTCTAGCAACGAATAATGGTCCCAATCACCTTCACGGAGGTATCAAAGGTTTCGACAAGGTTATCTGGGAATCATATGTGAAGGGAACAACACTCTATTTGAGTTACCATGCAGACGATATGGAAGAAGGGTATCCAGGGGATATTCTTGCGACTGTTAGTTTCCAGTTAACTGCTGAAAATGATTTTCTCATAGATTACAAAGCTACCACGACGAAACCCTGTCCGGTCAATTTGACGAATCATTCTTATTTTAACCTCGCTGGTAATGGGAAAGGTTCGGCAGAATTATATAAACACATCGTATCTCTGAATGCTGATAAGATAACAGAAGTCGACAGTCAAGGCATACCAACAGGTAAACGATTTTTTTTTATAATCACTATCATTTTAGTAATATTTCCCAATATTTAAAAAGTTTGATTTAGAAATAGGGTTCCCTTCTGATAAAAATCATTTTTCTGATTCGAATAGGCTTTTTTGAAAATTGTTAGTATTCAAATAAGGCACAATAAAAAAATCTTCCATCAATTTTCTGAAAAGCTTTTATTCTCAGAAATGTCTACATTTAATTCGAGTTTAAATAATTAGACCTTTGAAATTTGAAATTTAGACCTGTATTTGAAATTTTATATCAGGTGCAAAATGAAGTGCCCTCTCCAAAAGATACCGATGAGTTAGACCCCTATTTGATTTGTTCCAAAATAAACTTCTGTTTGTCTGTCTGTTAGTCGATAGCGATCGAACGAAGATATTAAGTTAGATATTGTATCCACAGTTAACGTCTGTTTCAGGTTATGTTTCTCATAACATAACCTCGGAAACGACTATGAATATAATAATTACTGATTGAATAAAACTGGTCACATCAATAAGTACCACAAAAAAGTTCATTGTTTTTTCACAAGCTAAATAACTGAGAAACTATGCCAGAAATGAAGAAAATATTAAGCTTCAAGTACCTTGACAACGAATGAAAATCATCAGTTTTTCCGAAACTGTTGCATAAAAAGAATGGTAATGTTTTTTTTCCTGAAAATTCAAAAGTTTAGAATTTACTTGAGGAAATAGAAGAATATTTTTCAGCTCAGACAGCGTATTCCTGGTTGCATTTACATTAATGTTATCCAATTTCTGTGACCTCAAGTTGAATCTACTATCCGGTTTAGAATCCGTCGTACTTTGTTCACATGATTGACTTTTAGGGAAAATAACTTCAATTACTACTCAGTTTAACTTTGTCGTAATATTTTACATGTCAAATATATTTTCATTTCGAGGCTTTCGAAATAGTTGAAACCAGAGCCCGGAAATGAAGCATTCGTGATCCAACAGTATATAGCGCTGTTTCGACCCGTCACAGGTTTCATCAGTGGTGTTGCATTACTGGACCCATCTTCACTTAAAGGTCAAGCTCGAATTAGTAGAGGCGTCATCTATCAGATCGACAAAAAACACAATCCATGAATATCAAAGAAGGACATGGCTCCCTCAGGGCACTGGTTTCAAATAGTTGCCGAACGAGATTTAACCTCTATCTTCCACTATAGTTTTCATTGCGAAGCAACTAGTTCAAATCAGAGCCTTTGAGGAACCGCGTTTATCTTTGATATTTGTTGCTTGAGTCTTCAGTTCTTGTCTATTATACAGTTTCCGATGGATACATTGTTTTGTATTCATAGTATACATACTTGTGTGTGAACTCATTCTCTTGCTTCAAATGCATTAAATATATAGTGTTTGAAAGGAGATCTTAATCCAAATATGTCGATACTATATATGGTGTCCTCGTAAGGAAAGATTGCATCGCATTTACTTAGGCTTATTATTCAAGGACAGACCTCCCACTGGCACTATGAGACCTAAGGCGGTTCGAAACAGTGCTACCTGGTGCTGGATCACGAAAACTTTGTTATTGGGTTCTGGTTTCAACTAGTGGCTATGGGATCAAAGCTGCAATGAAAGACAGAACAAATCTCGTTCGGCGGTCTATGTCGATGCTTGGATTTGCAACAGATCGCCTTGGAGAGCCTTGTTTATCATTGATATTCATGACAGAAATTATTATATGAATTTACATTATATCCAACATTTATCCAGATTCTATAGTATTCTCTGATTTTCAGGAAACCTCCCGAGCGTAGCAAACACCGTTTTCGATCTCCGAGTCCCGAAAGTTTTAGGGGACGTTATTCACAAAGTTCCAGGTGCACCTGGTTTCGACCATAACTTCTGCATTACAAGAGGCTCTGAACAATGCAATGCCTTCGTGGCTAGGGTTGCCCATACAGGTAGTGGACGAGTGATGGAAGTTTACAGCAATCAACCTGGTGTGCAGTTTTACACCAGCAACTTTCTTCCCGAAGGAGACGATTTGATGGGAAAAGACGGCTTCATTAAAAAACATGGGGGATTTTGTCTGGAAACTCAGAAATATCCTGATTCTATAAATCACGTGAGTTGAATAATTTTGAAAATATTTCAGTTGGTGGTGTACTGAAATGAAAGGAAACTTGATCTCCAAGGATCTCGAGAAAAAAGTTTTAATAAGAAACAACAACAGCTAGGAGTCATGCTTGCTAGCGAAACGTAGGAAGAAATTTCTACGACTCTCAAACTCAACAGAAGATAATGATGTAAATACCATTACCTTCATAATTCATGCGACACCTTTCACAACTATACAATCTAATCACTTTTTTCAATTTTTTTATACCTTCTCAACTTGAATAAATTCAAAGTCAATTTTCAACAATATAGGAATCTATTGAATACAATTCTTTCTGACCAAAACTTAAATATTGTCTCTTGACGTGCGTTTTGCTAAGCAAGTCATCATCTGGATATAACTATTCGGAAACATGTGATGATACCGACTGATGAAAACTCTAGATAAACTCATTGAACAACATTTCAGTACGAGAATTTCACTTCATGATTCACGAACATACTACGCATGTATCAACTATACAGGAGTATCTAATATTAGAAGTATAGGCGCAAAATTTTCAAACATGTATATGAAATACACATTTTCTGAAGAAGTTTTTTGAAATTTTTCAATGCTGTTACAAGAAATCTATTATTTACAGTTGTGATGTGTAGAATGGAAACACTTTTTACACAGCATTTAAATTTTTTGCAAACAATTTGGTTTTCACAGAATTCTCAAATCTTTAAAAAACAAATAACTGAAGAAAGAAATAAAATCTTTGCAATCATCACCAATTTATTCGTTACAAAAGAGACAATAGAGGGGAATCATTCCTTTCTAACTGAGCGGTTCTTCTGAATTTTTGAATCTATCAAGTTCCAACCATCCTGTTCGAAATTTTTTTTTCTTAGAAATGAATGTGACGTTTTTGCTTTAATCTGTCTCTCGCAGTTCCTGACTTTTCTTCTACTTGCCAATGATATTTCTCAAATATGTTTTTCTGTAAATAAATTTTATTTGTTTCAGGAAAGTTTTCCAAACTCAATCCTGTATCCAGGGGAGCAGTATCATCATACAACAACTTTTAGATTCATTGTAGAAAAACAATAATACAATTAATAAAATGAAGAAACAATTGATAGGATTGTTATTATCATACGAGTCGGTCAATATTAAATTTTATTAGTAGGTACAGAGGTGCACTTAATAGAATTATTATTATTTTTTTACTGAGATAATGTGATTAAAATAGTAGTTTTCAGATGATGAGCAATCAAAAAAGTTGAAAACTTGAAGCATAGGGAAAAATTACATTTTTCTTCAACTATATAATGTAAAACAAACACAAATCACGGTAAAAAACTGAATAGTTCGAAAAAATTATGTCAACAAAACTTTGAAAATTGATTTTTGACAGCTGTTAAACAATATATATTCACTTTGAAGTAATTTTCTTCATACAACTTCAGTTGATAACATTATTTCAAAACCGATAATTCAAAATTATTGACATAATCAACCTTTATTTTATTTCCAATAACTTATTTCTCTGTAGTCTATTGAATTGTACACAATTATAAAGTCCAAGAAACTGCAATTTCCTTCATGAAATTATATAACTAGAACAGTAACTATTTCTTAACGAATATTTGTTTAACAGAGATGATCCCAGTTCTTCTAGGTGATCTTTTTATAGCATTTGAGGTATTGGACCTTTCCTAGAAAACGAGTGTGTATTACTTGCTAAGTTAATGGTAGATGCTGGTCCCACTTGGCATCGCCCGGTGAGATATCATCGCAACGGCTTAGGCAGCGTGAGCATGCTTTCGGGATAACGTTTCGTTGCTGTGCCGCTGTTTCCGGTCTCAAGGGTGAGAATATAAGAAAAAATTGCATAATGGCGATCCTAGGATCAAAATACTCCGGAGGTAAAATAGTTCCCCAATCCGATCTACGGGTGGGGGCTGACTCGAGGGCATCATCCTGCAGAAGATATTCGAAAACCACTATTTCTGACAGTCAACAAGGTCTTCCTTACATCAGTCCACAGGGAAATAACATGGTAACTGCAGTTACTAAGAGGCCCACAAGCAACTTCAAAATCGATTTCTGCAACATCAGAGGACTCAATTCAAATATCAACTCAGTGCACCAACATCTGCATACAAACAGTCGTCATATTCTAGCACTCACAGAAACCAAAGTTAGTGCTTCAACAAACCCCTATCAACGAGAGGAAATGTTGGAACCCCAAAACTTTGATGATCGCCAAATTCTTATGCTGCGTTTATCGACCACCAAGCTCTATACAATATAGGGCACTATTCTCTTCACTTGCAAACACCACTGACTTTCTGCAAATCAATCATCCCAGTGCCGAAATTTCCATATTTGATGACTCCAATGTCCACAATATCGAATGACTCCAATTTTCAAATATCAATGACAAACAAGGTCGCAAAGCTGAGGCTTTTACAATAAGCAGCGGACTCAGATTATAAAAGAGCCATCCGGGATTCCTGACCGTGATGGAGAATATGCTAGTCTTCTGTATCTATATCTAACAACCAATCCAGAAATTTACACAGTCCCCGTAAGATCTCCATTGGGATCTTCCAATCACAAACTCATGTCAGTATTGAGTGAATTGCCGATAAATGTTGGGGAACAATCTAAGCCGCGCAAAGTTTGGCATTACAAATCTTCTGAGTGGAAGGATCTTCAAAACCATTTCCGAAATTTCCCCTGGCTATATGTTTGTTTCAGCTCTAAAGATCCATCTATTTGTGCTTCTGAAGTCACGGAAGATATTCTTTCATCCATGGTTGTATATATTCCTTTTTCAATTAAACGAACTTCTAAGGGCAAACCTTGGTTCAACAAAAATTGCGAGCAAACTGTCCCCTCCAAAAATCTCGCCTACCGGTAGTGGCATAAAAATCCCAGTGCCGAAAATCAAACTAGTTTCGTTAATGCTCGCAACAGCTGCAAAATTAGGATAAATGAAAGCAAATTACTTCACAATCAGAGAATTAGGAATAAACTGCTTGCCAACCCTAACGGGTCTAGATCCTCCTGGTCGGTAGCTAAAGCTGTTAATCAAAAATTTGCAAATCCCACAATTCCACTACTAACACAAGCGGTTGGTTCAATTGCAACAACAGCCAAAGAAAAAGCAAATCTACTAGGCGAACAATTTGCGTCCCACTCCACAATCGATTTTATGGGAAAGATACCTCCCACTATTCCAACACTAGAATCTACAATGCAGGAAATAACCTTTCGACAATGTCTATTCAGGCGAATTCTGAAACAACCCAATATCAAAAAGGCATCTGGTCCTGACTTTCCAACCTCTCTTATAAGAAAGGGGTTTTTGTTTCTTGTAGGAAGATTGCTCGCGTACAGCCTATTCCCAAAAAGGGCATGAAAAATCTTCCAAATAACTATAGTACCTTCATTGGAGTAATGTTCTCAAGTATGGAGCTTCGCCCCTAAGCATGCCCTGAAGCTGCTGGATTCCATCCAGAAAAGAGCCATCCGCCTGATTGGAGACGCAAACACCACTAGCAACCTTGATAGTATATAACATCGAAGAAAGGTTGGAGATTTGTTTCTCCTCTATAGATACTTTCACGGGAAGTGGTCAAGTGACTTGTCACATTTGATTCCATCTAGAGCGGTACAAAAATACGCGATGAACTGTGGCTGCTCATCGTTTTGAGGTTCAACTCAGTACACCTCGAACTTCACTGTTGAAGAACTGTTTCATTTAGAGAACTGTGTTTATGTATAATGAACTTCCTGAGAACGTTTTTCCAAATGGATTTAATCTGTAGCGGAAAGAAACACGGAAAAACCTCAATGAAGAGACAGTATCCTCCTTTTTATAAAACACCTGATTGAAATAGGATTGTCAAATGGAGATCTTATTTTTTAGAAAATATTTGTTCAACAGATCTGAAGATATGGAATCGAATAAATATTGTTTCGCCCTTCAGTTGCATTGCATTAGAATTTATACATGTGAAAACCTTTTTCAGAAATTCAAAAACAGATATCACGGATTATAGCATAAAGAAATGTCAACAAACATATGTTAAACTATTGCAACAAATGTTCACTGTTTATGTTGTTGTCTATTCGTGCCATTAAGAAATAAAGAAAAATTGCCTCATGAAATAAAGTGGCCGAGAAAAGAGGCCCTTGACAGCTGAATAAATTATAAAATCGCAACGGGGGCACCAATTATCCGATTATTGCGTATCCATGGTAGTGATTTATAATGTCCGATATGCGACGTTGAGCAGATGTGGATGGGATTATAATTACATGAAGAACTCGTTTTACTCTGCTTGTCGTCTTTTTGTGGTGTTCAATCTTGGCTTTGGGGATTTTGTGTCTCAGACCATGCATATTGATTACTTGATCAGTACATATAGGATCAGTGTACCAATGATTGTAATAGCTACCAGCTCTTTAGGAATAATAACTTCACTCGAAAATGTTCAGTGCGATGTGCGAGACTTGTGTCATCGTTTTGTATGTACTACAAAGAAATTTGAAGGTGTTCAATCAAACTCCAAATTAATAATTTGAAAGAATGGGATATTTGTACAAAACGAACAAAAAGTCCAAAATCTTTCTTGAAGAATCGACGAAGTCACAAGGAATCAATGATTATTTTCTAAATAATGCAGGAAATTTCAGTGTAGATACAGATTTAATTAACAACTTCAGAAATAATGAATTAGATGATCTAAATTTTAACTTTCTCTAAAATTACAAACGAGAAAATTTACAGCTGTTTTTTTAAGGCAAGGAGTGTTCCTTCGTATCTAAGAATCAGTAGATGCATTACCATTACTTAAAATGTCTCACCCAACTACTTTTAATAACTTGGAATGAACATGAATTGCTACCTACAATCCAACCAGGATTTAGGAAAAGTATAGTAGCAATGCTACCCTATTGAAAGTTAGACCCTCTGCCTGGGATGAATTACATTGCACATTTAGTGAATTTCAATTTGCTTTTAGTGAAGATAGGTTATTTTGGAGTAAATGATACAGCTTTGTCTTAGTCAACAGACTATTTATACCAAAGATTACACAGAGTTTTGATATATAAGGATTCTGTTTCGGAGTAACATCATCTGGAGTTTCTCAAGGTAGCATTCTTAGCCCACTCATGTTCGCTATGTTTATTGTTGATCTGCCCGAGGTAATAAAAACATCGAAAATCCAATTATATGCAAATGATATGCAAATGCACGTTGAATATTGAAGAAAATTCAACCTGCATTAATTTTGATCAAGACAAAAATTCTGTGTGATGTGCATGGAGTGGATTGAAAATCAACAACAATAATGGTGTTCGTACTGTCTCGAAAAAAAATACCGAAATATTAATCTCTTCTAACTACCTACACCGTAGGTTCCGGTAAATGCCTGCCGTAAAACAACTACTTCCCCGGCTAATACCATGCTGTATATTGATTTCTATCCGACAGACATCTATGTCTGTCCTCACAGAGGTCAGTGACGTAGATGTTTCTTGTTTTTCCGGCAGCAGGAGCATGCTGTAATTGTTCGAGTAGACCGGTTTCGAGGTACCTATTACCTCTCATCAGTTGAGGAAAGATCCTGCACTGGAACCTAACCAGAACTTACGGTGTAGGTAGTTGGAAGAGATGAATATTTCGACATTTTATTTCGAAATATTTATTTCCTGTATCTGTATCTGTATCTCTATCTCTCCTCGATACAGTCTTCAGACTGTAATAATAAGTATTCGATAAAAAAACGGCCACTATCAACTTTTTTTTCAATGCGGGCCTGTCTTTTTTATTACAGATATTGATAAAGCGATAAATTCACAATTGAAGGGTATATCACATTTGATATTTTTATAGCGTTTCATTTGAAATAACCACCATCATTAGTGACAACAATCAAACAGAANAGAAGTTTTTTGAAATTTTTCAATGCTGTTACAAGAAATCTATTATTTACAGTTGTGATGTGTAGAATGGAAACACTTTTTACACAGCATTTAAATTTTTTGCAAACAATTTGGTTTTCACAGAATTCTCAAATCTTTAAAAAACAAATAACTGAAGAAAGAAATAAAATCTTTG